ACAGACTTTCAACTTGCCCCTCATCGGCCCCTGCACAAAACTCAATACATTCTAGTTGCTCTCTCACATAAAGAGCAACTTCACCACCTCGCTTCCCCGCCCTATCTTTCCTAAAAAGCACATAACCATCCATGGCCACATTCCAGTCACGTGACCTGTCCCACCATGTCTCTGTTATTGCTACCAGATCATAACCCCTAGCCCGTACACTGACCTCTAACTCTTCCTGCTTATTCCCCATGCTGCGTGCAGAAGTGTACCTGGACTCCTTCCTGGGGCAAGCTCGTGTCTATCCAGACAAACGCTTAGTGAGGAGACACCAGCATCCAGTGACAGCCAAGTGGACATGGTCTGGTCTTCTGGAAGTCACTAAGGTTTCTTTGGAAAATAAGCTTTCATGCATGAACAAGCCATGCAGTGAGTGGGAGGAACAGTGCAATGAGTTCCCATCTTATCCTGGGGTGTTGTGGTGCCTGACATTGCTCGTGCTCCAGCCAGAGCCTGTCCTGGTGCTGGAACACCAGCAGGCTCTGTTCCCTTGATGCATTCCCTACTGCCACAGGGTAACTGTAGAAACCCGCTGTCCCTGAGTGATGGCACTGCAGATTGCCACACAGCCTGTGGTGATTTGATATCTTTGAGATATTCATAATGTCAGATTTATTTTAAATTGGCTGGTGTAGTTTAGTTGAACAGCTCAAAAAGAGGAAAAGCAGTGAGATAACAGATCCATAGCACAAGTGTATAGATTGAGTTTCCTTAGGAAGCAGAGCTTCAGTAGTAGTACCACTATGATCTCTGAAGAAATTGTGTGAGGATAACTTAATTATTTCAAAGTATCTGGGGATTCAATAATTTTGCTGGTGGTAACTTGAGAAATGTCAATCATTTTTATCCAGTAGAAAAGATTTATTTTATTTGGAAATGAAAAAAATAAGAATTACACTGCTGGTGCTTTGAGACTTTCTCTGTGATGTTGTTAAAGTACTTAGTGCACAGAAGGCCAAAAGATCCTGGTGCAACCTCTGCAACATATAAAACTACCAGTAAGAAAAAGCAAATGTAATAGCCAGTCCCAGTAGAAGCTCAGGGGGGCTTCTGACAAAGTCGACTTGATTCATTTCGCCACAGACCTGAGGAAAGGTTGGTGAGGTCTTTCTTACTAATTCTTACTATGAACTCTAAGTATTAAAGTCCCTAGAAATCTGCTTATGATTTATTCTCTGCATAGGTCCAATTTGACCAATCTCAAATTTCCTTCCACGATACCATAGTCATACTAAACAAATGTAACTCTAGTTTCTTTACTAAAAACTACTTTCCTAGTAGATGACTAGTAAACAACTAGTTTGCTAGTCCATGTGATCACTTTTTTTATTTCCCAGATAGTGGGAATAGTTACCCTGCGTTGGCCAGCTTGCAGTCTTTTGGATGCTGAGCTATAAAAGACAGGGTCAAGAGTCAGGATACAGCCTTAGAAGTACATTGGGAGCCAAAACATGAATGCCAGATTCAAACAATTAAGGAAGGTTTTTTCATCTAAAGATAAAACAAACAGGACAGGACACTCATCTTCCAAATTACCAAGTCATATGATCTGCACAGTAGGTAACCTAGGAAAGAGATGCATTGTCTTGGCTGGATTACAGCAGTCTATCTCAAAAGCTTAAGTTTATAAACTAATTTTATCCTATTTTCACACATGAAATTTATTTCTGAAATCAAATAAAGGATAACATGGTGTATTAATTCCATCACAAAAATTAATTATCAGCATCATGTAAATTTGGATTTGCACAATGAGCTTCTAACACACCTGGAGATATTCTCCATAAGACCTAGAAAACACCCACAAAGAATATTTTTGCTTCAAATATTACAATGAGGTCCAGATCCACCTGACTGCTCTGGACTTAGCAGGGTTAAACCTGTGTAACTTTCACCTAATTCCTCCTTTAAGTATTTCACTCCAAAGCTCAGAGCCTCCAAATCTCCTAAGAGCCACTGAGCAGCACTGAAGGTGGCTTCCAAAGTTACCCAACAAATTTTCTAGGCATGGAAAGGTTTTCCTCTGGGCAAAGGTGTAACTACCTATGTCCTACCAGGTTGAGAAGTTAAAAGTGTAACACTCTCAGAATCCACAAACTTACTTTCCTGCCTGTGCTATTTTGAGGAAAAATAAAAACTATTGAGGAAATTCTATTGAGAAAACAATTTGCATATGCCAACCTGCTTATGAATTTCTTCTTCTGCTCCTAAAGGCCACCAGTGTCTCATCTTGATCCAATTACTGCACTGCACAGCTTATCACACCAACCATTTCCTTTTCCTCTTTTTCTTCAGTGCTGAGCCTCATTAAGGGGAAATATGACAGGTCCAGTCAGTGTTAAATCCAGACTCTCATGTTAGTTCTGTAGTTGATGGCAACCTTGAGTTGTGTGAACTTTCATTCAACACAAAAGCAGCCTCCTGGTACTCACACTCTCTAATGGATTTGTACCATTTATAATAGTTGTGCTTGTTATATTTTCTTTTCCTCTGAATTTTGTCTCAAATAAAGATTAAAATTTATGTATATGTTTGCATATATAAATATACCTATTTTGTTGAAATGTCTTTCAGCACTTCGGTAAAACACCAGGAAGATATTTTTCAATGGATTGAAAAGATCCTTGGATGTTTTTTTACTCTGCTAGTCGGAAATATCAATGAAGTGATGGTTGAAGTGAAAATGCAGCAGTATCCTATCTTTAAGCTTGAATCATTCTGAACAGACAGAGGTGCTATTCCTTTAAATTCTTCCTGTCTTTCAATTTTAACTCCTGTAGAGACTCTCTGACATAGAACAGGAAATAAGCTATAGTTTTATTTCTCTATAAAAGCATTTAAGAGAAAGGAATGCTTTAGCTTCTCTGGGTCAGAACACTTCCACTGTAGCTTCAGCATAAACACACAGAAATGGCTTATATACTAATTTAATTCCTTGTTTAAGACATAAGTGCAAGACTTCCAAAAGCAATGCACTTTGTGCAATTCAACCCTCTAGTGAAGGCCCATACCTCACTGCCCTGACCATGCAGCTCGCAGAGCTCCTCTGTTGGGAATCCCACCCCCACCCCCGTGCCCAGGCTGGGGGGCTGCCAGACCCGCCCCACCCATCACCCCCGGCTGGCTGAACCCGCCCTCGCGGGACAC